ACAAACCCGAAGGAAACAAAATAAAAATAAGATTTCTGCTCTTCCTAACTTAATACTGCACAACTTAATGAATGTTCAATGAGAGGGATAGTACTTCAGTGTCCTGCTCTGGAGCCTCCAACGTCCTGTTCAAACTGCTTTTGGGTTTATTTTGACTCTTCTTAGAATAATAAAAGATTAAACATTGTTGTTGGTTTTTTGTTTTGCGTTTGTTATCATTAAAGTCTATCACTTGAATTCTCGTGTTTTTCACAGTTTCTATTATCCAGGCTTTAAAAATAAGCTCTCAGGTTTTACACAGACAATCAAAATTGAGCCCTGCAATGTTTACTCATTTATTTTATTATTTCTTCAGTATCTCGAGCCTCTTGGACAGATTCCTTTTCATCCTTGGCTCCTCGGCATGAGTCACATGAAGCTCCGGCAGCTTACATTTACATTCCAGTGTTTCCGTCTCATTTCCTGGCACCGTCTTGGTCTTTGCTGTCGATCCTTTCTGTCCCACAGGTGATGTGTGAGACGTGCGTGTTGTCCGGTCTCTGTGTAGCTCATCAGTGTTTGTCATCCTCCCTCCTTTTCCTGACACAGGACAGCATTTACATCACCACCTTCTTCAGAAACAGCCAACTAAAATAATCCAGCAAGAGCTGCAACATGAGTTTGTTTGTTTGGTTCCTGCTGTGGTCCCACTCTAGGTCGTCCCATCCAGTGCTGGGTGTCTCTTTGTCCTCTTGGAGACTCTCTTGCATTACAGTTAGTGTACATGTTCCTTAAGGCTGGAGGCTCCTTTCTGGGTCGTGTTCCTCGCCGTGATGTTTGCTGTCGATGCCTGACAGGCTGGCTTGGAGGCAGCCCAGCTGGTGCCTTTGGCTGCTGTTGTACCGCTAATGCTTCTGCTTGTTGCATCTCTTTCTTCAAATCCAGCCTTCACCTGTGTTTCGTTGGCTTCCCAACCCTTTTCTGCCACCTGGTATATCAGCAACCTTTTATTTAAATGTCTCATTTCTTCCTGCTCTTCCTTTGTCCTGTGTTGGCGCACATAAAGCTGGAGGAGATCCATCCATAGGATAAAATCCACATTGTATACACAGGAACTAGAAGTGAGAGTGGCTTGGGATGAACTGCACCACTGCTATTCAAAGTTAGCTCATAGAATCAAATAATCCAAAATAAAAACCTTCTTAAATGATGTTCTAAATGAATGTTTTAACTCCATTGTTATTTATCTAAACTATACATAATCTGGCTTTTGGCTGAGCCAAACATCTCGAGTAGTTAGACAGAAAAACTGCAGTATTACTGCAGGGAGCTTGTTACAAAACTACATCTGCTGCTGATAGATTTAATCAGCGGAGCGACTGAGGAGTGGCGCTGTGGTTCTAGCCGTGCGAGCCATTTAACAGCTTTAGAAGCCTCGTAATCAGCCACACGGGGCCAGTTGACTATGTGATGCATTTCACCACGGGGCTGTTAGCTTTTGAGATACGGGTAATTCTATGCTCCACCAATTACAAATGGAATAACTAATGAAGCAGGGAAGACATTCACAAGCTGTTTCCTGCTCCTGTGGCCTAGTCCTGCTGGACAGTTTACATTTTAATAAATGGAAACGCGTTTGTAGCTGTAAATACAGGACTGTGCAGCAGGTGTGTCTTTACTTTGTGTAACTAAAGTATCCTATTACAGTTGGGTAGTCTTGAGTCTGGTGAAAAAAACAAACATGGAGGCCATCTTTGGATTGGTATGTGGGAAGTGACAGTCATGCTTACAGTGCAGTTACAGTGCATACTGGGAAAAGGGAAACCAGTCAAGTGATTTATAGAAACATATATTTTGTTTTGTTTTTATTATACGATAATAAAACATCTGTACTTGATGATCACAGCAGCCTGAAACTGAGCTGATAGTGTTGTTGTTTGTGTATTTTGGGGTTTGTTACCCAGTTTTTACTGCAGTGTCAGTGTTTGTGGTCAGAGCACATTTTTAAAACACATCTGCAGTTTCTTCTTCAC